AAAAAACACCAAAACAAAGCTTACAAAAAAGGAACAAATACAAGTGATCCAAGCCCAAAGAAAAAATCTTATATGAATTTTTTTTTTCTTTATAATTTTTTAAAAAAAATTTATGACACAATTTTTATTTTATAATCCTTTCATTTAATAATTGTAAATAATTTTTATTCAATTATTTCAGGTGTTGGTAAAAAATAATTTGTAAACATGTAAAATCAATTATTCTTAAAATCATTAACTATTGAAATAAAATGTAAAAATCTCATTTATAGTAATTTGAAAATATGAAATATATTGAATTATACTTAAAAATTGACAAAAACTGATCAAAATTTATTTTCAACCCCAATAAATGTGATTATGAAAACAAAAATATGTGTATCGGTAAGTTTTCTTCAAATTGTGCAAAAAATAAAAATAAAAATACAATTTCAGTTACCGCGACCGTTAGCCTTTACACTCCGCAACTGTTACCGTGTCACCACAACCGTTACGGTGACCACAACCGCTTTTCAAAACCTTAATTATACCCTATTTATTATTAGGGTCAGGCTTTTCTCCAGTACGAGATCAGACTAGAGCGTGTTGTACTGGGCCCACCACAAGTCTTATTTCGATAATCCGAATCATTCAATATGTATAAATCTTCGAATATTTTATCCCTATAAAAAATCACAATGATTGGATATCGATAGCTACTTGATCAGATTAGATTTTTGTCAACGGTAAATATAATTTTCAAAATAAATTGTTGACAAAAATCTGATTCGATCAAGTAGCTCTCTATATCCGATCAATGTGATTTTTTTACAGGAATAAAGTATTCAACGAGTTCTACACATTGAACAATTTAGATTATTGAAATAGGACCTGTGGTGGACTCCACACGCCCAACAATATCGTCCAATCTACAAAGTGAACTGGAGACAAGTCTATCCCTTATTATTATAAATATATAATTTTTAAAAATAACTTGAGACATCTAATTTATCACATTTAAAAATTATTTCTAATAATATGTTTGATAATTATCAAATTTTAATTCGTTAAATATTTTATCATGTAAGATTTAATTTCAATAGTATATATTAAAAATTATTTAAAAATGATATATTAAAAGAGATGTGACATTGTTGATATTTTGGAAGATGAAACGACTTTTGAGGCCTTTTGGAAGATGAAACGAGTTTTGCTTCGTGGAAGATTCTCAGAGCAGGGAGGGTGTTATGTGGCCATTTTGAGCCCACCAGGCCTCTTGGATTAGATTGTTGAGGGGAAAAAAATTAAATAATATTTATTTTTAAAAAAATATACGGAATTTTGCAGACGGTTCATTATTTTGAAGGAAAAAAAAAAAAAAAAATTGGTCATGTGATTACTATATATAATTATTTAATTAATTTAAATCTTTGAATGAATGATTATTTGAAAAATAAAAAATTTGAATTATTGAAATGAGTCTCTTAATATGTGAACAATACACATTTTTATCAATATAAAATAGTGGGACAAACCATTTTGGATAGAATTATAAATTATTACACTTTGGTCAAGTTTGTTTAGGACAGTGATAGCCTTGGGATTGGATTAACAATCTAATAAAATGCATAATCTAATGTTTGAATAAATATATTGAAGTGCGGCTAGTAGTCAATCCAGATATGGCATCTCTCATATAGAAGTATTTCATCTCAAGAGAGAAGTGAGACATAAAATGAAGAACTAAGAATATGTTCACACTAATTAGTTAAATCGAAAAATTGATAAGATTTCTCAATTCCTTCTCATAAGTTTGACACAATCCAAATATCAGATCGGACACACAATTTAAAAGTATTGATAATCATCGGACTAATAATAGTCTTATGAATATTAAGCTCATATAATTCAATATGTTCAAAAAAAATTATATCTTTTTACATATGAGAGAATATAATATGTTGGGGGAAATAATAAATCAGTGAATTTTTAGAAAGAGTTTAGTTTCTCTCAAGTTGTCATCTCAGATTGAGAGAGTGTTTGAGTTTAGTAAGCCCATTTTAGAACTGATTTCGATGATCTGAACCGTTCACTTTCCTAGACTCATTGAGTAGAATGTTTATGTAAAAAATTAAGATTATTGGACATTGGTAATTATATGTTTAAATCATATTAGTTTTTTAAAAAATGGACCACAAATATAATCTCAAGAATAGCTATCCATTTTTTGTAATACAAATCTGATTCAAATATATTACTATCGATATCCGATCATTTTAATTTTTGTATGAATATTCTACTCAATAAATCTTAAAAAATGAACAGTTTAGATCATCTCATGCTGAGATGTGAATATGAAAGAAATCTAATCCTTTTAGAAAAACAAAATCAAATTAATGGTAAACTTTATAAACTTTAATAATTAAAGTCGTAGATTTTTTCGTAATTCTGTAATTATTTTGAAAAAATAAGGCTGATTTGTAATTTTTTCCAAAATGTTTAAACACTAGACTTTCATTATTTTAATAGCCACTTTCTGTCTTGTTTCCCTCTCAAGTTATCCCAGCATCTGCCATCATGGAGAAAACTTGGTTCCTCTATCTAACTGCACTGTTCTTCGCGCAGTACTGTTTCGTAGCCTGCTTCACTATGAATGTTTCTAGCTTCACCACTGATCAGTATGCTCTTTTGGCCTTCAAAGCCCATATCACTTTCGACAATCCTCACCACATATTGGCCAATAACTGGTCCGCAGACACCTCAGTTTGTGACTGGATTGGTGTCTCTTGCGGCAAGCGCCACTACAGAGTGGTGGCCTTGAATCTACCTGACATGGGTATTGGAGGCACCATCCCACCCCACATCGGAAACCTCTCATTTCTATCCTACTTCAACATTACCAACAACACTTTTCAGGGTCATCTTCCAGATGAGTTGGCTCAGTTGCATCTCCTAAATGTTGTCGACTTCAATTTCAACAACTTCAGTGGAGGTGTTCCGACATGGTTTGGAAACTTACCCAAGCTTCAATACTTGTGTCTCGCAAGCAACAGTTTCACAGGTTTGGTTTCACCTTCCATTGGCAACATATCAACATTAGAGTCTCTCGATTTAAGGTACAATTTTCTAGAGGGAGGAGTTCCTGAAGAGATTGGTTATCTTACGAAACTGAAGTGGTTACAGATGGGATTTAATAATTTGTCGGGGTCTATTCCGCCAACCATCTTCAACATCTCATCACTTCAACGGATTGAGTTCAGACATAATATGTTGTCTGGTATTCTTCCGGAGGATTTGTGTGTTTTTCTTCCGAAACTTGAATTTCTCCGTCTTTCTGAGAATGAGTTTGATGGCCAAATTCCAACAACTCTAGGTGAATGCAGAGAGCTCCAATTCTTATCATTATCTTACAATAAATTCAGTGGTTTCATTCCAAAGGGGATTGGAAATTTGTCTTTGCTTCAGATTTTATATCTTGGTGGTAACAACTTTCCAGGTATGATTTATTCCCACTTATTACTGTTATTCAATTTGGTTTGCGTTTCATATATATGTATGGGATAAGCTTCCCTCTTCTGTGGATTGGACCCCACCGTTCGGGCTTATGGGCATTTTATGCGTCATGTTTTAATGATTTGAATTGTTCATTTTTTAAGTCATATTATTTAGATTATTTATGAAAAAAATTAAGTCAATCCGATAATCATAACCGTATTATTTTATGACAGTTATTTGTAAAAAAATGAACAACAAATATTGTTTGAAAATTAAATCATCTATTTGAATGAGAGTGATAATGGAATCAATAATGTTAGGCATCATGAAAGAAATATCATGAAAATTCTCTGCCCTTGGGATTAGTTTGTAATATTTTATTGTATGATATGCAATCCCTCTTGGATTAATTTCATTAAACTTTTCATAATGCATAGCATTACTCGAATGGAATGGAATGTCCATTCTCATTTCCTTGTTTGGTTACCAATATGGAATGGTGTAGGAATATAATGATAATTCTTACTTTCATGCTTGGTCATGCCTATTAAATTAATATAATAAAATAATTTGTTATTTGTTATTTATTTTTTTGACAAGCTAGTAACAAACAAGTTAAGAAGTCATATAGATCATGATAGTATTAATAATTGTGGAAATGATAGTTTGAGTGTAGTGGTGGCACTGATGGTGGTGATAGTAGTGGTATTATGATGCTGATGTTGTTGCTGCTGCTGCTGGTGGTAATAGTAGGTCGTTGTAGTGTTGGTGATGGTGGTAAGGTGGCGTTGTGGTTATATCTACAGTGGCAGTGGCGATGATGTACTGACAGTGGTTGTAGTTTTATCGGCGGTGGTGGTGATGGCAGTGGTGGTAGTGACTGTAATTGTGGAGAATGTGGTAGTAGTGGTGACGGTGGTGATGTGGTGGTAGTGGTTGTAGTTGTGGTGGTGGTAGTGATAGTATTGTTCATGGTGGCAGTAGTTGTAGTTGTGACAGCAACGACAGAGACGACGGTGGTCATTGGTATAACAAGCTCTACTACTCATATCTATTACCAATATAACAATGTCATTAAAGGTGATAAACAAAACATGATAGATAAATATACTAATCATAGAATTATTGATTTGGAATACAGTAGTCTAAGAGTGTTGTTGGATCTTTGAATTTGTGAAGGGATTAGTGAAGGAAAAAGAAAAGGAAAGTAAAAATAGATGAAACAAGAGCTAAATTTTTTTAATAAATTCCTTCCCCCAAATTTGATTTTAAATTTTGATTGATTTAAATAATTGACTCTAAAATTTTATGTTGGTTGCCTTAAAAAAATAATATGAAAATGTTTTATTTTTCCTTTTCTATCCATAAAAGTTGATGAAGTATAAGTAATTAGGAAATATTATTACCAAAAAAAAAAAACACTAGGGTTTGAGCCCTCAACAAAATAAATCTTTAATTTTATCGATTTAAATCTTAAACTTTGGTTTGTTTTCAATGTAAACTATCTGCCTATTTTTGTTGGTTGCCTTAAAAAAATAATATGAAAATGTTTTATTTTTCCTTTTCTATCCATAAAAGTTGATGAAGTATAAGTAATTAGGAAATATTATTACCAAAAAAAAAAAAAACACTAGGGTTTGAGCCCTCAACAAAATAAATTTTTAATTTTACCGATTTAAATCTTAAACTTTGATTTGTTTTCAATCTAAACTATCTGCCTATTTTTGTTAAATAAAACTCGTAAAAAGTGTATTTTGGTCATTAAACTCAATGAAAATAAATATTTTAGATATTTTTCATATACTTATATTGAGTTTAATAGTTAAAATATTATTTTTTTGACAATTTTATTTGAGGAAAATAGGTAGATGATTCAGATTGAAAATAAATCAAAAGTTTAGGGTTTAAAACAACAAAATTAAAAACTCAAATTTATTTTGTTATAAGGCTGAAACTCTGAATTTTTTTTTTATTTTATAATTTTTTCAAGTAATTATTATCCTTTATTTCAACAAATTCAAGATTAAAATATAACATTAAAAAAAGGATTACCAAAATTTTTGCCTATCCAAATGTGCAAACTACATATGCCTGCCCATTTGAAAAGTAACTTTGGGTCGGTTTGGAAAGTGAATTGACTTTTTAGTTTTTTAGCTTTTTAATTATTTTAGCTTAGGCCTAAAAAGTCTCGTTGGGGATGAATTTTTTGACTTTTTTGACTTTTGTGAGAGAAAAAATAAAATAATTATGATTTGGATATAACATTTTGTCTCATTGACTTTTTAACCTATTTTACCTTTTTGTTACTATTTTAATCTGGTAACCTCTTCCCAAACGTGTGCTTTATTTTAATATATGTATGTATGTTGAGGGAAATGATATGGCAGCATATGCGCCTATCACCAACATATATATTTTATTATAAAATTTTATAATATCAATTATAAAATACATAAACTCATCATAAATTGATGTAATGACTTGGTTACGATATTTTTGCTACGTCAATTTTTGACGAAATTACGCATTTATGTATGTTGATACTACACAACACAACACAGCACTTGGTAGGTACAATTTGTAAATTAATTTATTATTTTTTTACAGGTGAAATTCCACGAGTTTAGTAGTCTACATAATTTGGAGATGTTTAGTATGGAGTCTGCCGACTTCACTGGTTTCGTACCATCTTTTATCTTTAATATTTCTTCATTGAAAGTGCTTTATCTATGGGAAAATAAATTAATGGGTTAGAATGGTTGAAAGAAATGGAAAATTGTGTATCTGTATTATGTCAATAACAATGTACAAGAGCTCTTATATATAGGAGAGTGATAGAAATCAAATCCTAATCGAATTCTAATTCCTAAATTATGATATACATTAACAATTATGATATACATTAATAGCTCCTGTCAAACTCAAGGTGGGTAAGCATCAACCAACTTGAGTTTGGAAATTAGATCATTGAAACGACCAGGAGGATGAGCCTTGGTGAAAATATCAGCAGGTTGATCAGTAGAAGAAATAGGGAGAGGATGAACAGTACCACGTGTAAAATGCTGTCGAATGAAATGACAATCAATTTTAATATGTTTGTTGCGATCATGGAAGACATCATTATGAGCAATCTGAATAGCACTTTGATTGTTACAATAGAGAGAGATAGCACCAGGAAAATAAAAACCCATATTAACAAGGAGCCAACGAAGCCACAAAAGTTCCTGTGTAATATTAGCAAGAGCGCAGTATTCAGTTTCAATAGAGCGAGCAGTGAGGTACTGTTTCTTGTTGCCCCAAGTAAAAAGAGAATCCCCTAAGAAGAAATAGAAACCCGTGGTGAAGCGTCGATCAATAGGATCCCCAGCCCAATCAACGTCAGAAAAGGCACAAAGCTCGAGAGAAGAGTAAGCAGAGTAGTGGAGTCCATGGAACATAGTGCATTTGAGGTAGCGAAGTACGTGAAGAAAAGCAATATAATGCGAGGTGCGAGGAGCCGACATGTACTGACTAATAAGATGGACAACATAGGCAATGTCAGGACGAGTCACAATGAGATAGACAAGACTACCTACTAGCTGGCAATAAAGAGTAGCATCAGAGAGAAAATCCCCATCTAAAGGAGTGAAACGAGTCTGAGGATGAACGAAAGTAGAGGTAGTCTTGCAATCGGTAAGACCAGTATGTGCTAGAAGATCGGATGCATATTTGGTTTGTGACAAATAATAACCAATGGAATCAAGAGAGATTTCAAGCCCTAAGAAATAATTGAGAGTACCAAGGCCCTTCATCTCAAACTAATGATTAAGAAATTGTTTGAGGCTAAGAATACTAGCCACATCATCACCAGTGATAATCATATCATCCACGTAAAGAAGAAGAAGAGTGGTTCCATGAGGAGTGGTCTGAACAAATAGAGCAACATCATATGGGCTGAAGGTGAAACCGAAGTCATGGATGGTGGAACTGAATTTAGCAAACCAAGCTCGTGGAGCTTGCTTGAGACCATAGAGAGCACGCTGTAATTTACAAACCTTATGAGCCGGATAAGCAAACCCAGGGGGAGGTTACATGTAGACTTTCTCAAGAAGATCACCATTAAGAAAGGTATTTTTGACATCCATCTGAAAGAAATCCTAGTGGCGAGCAGCGGCAACAGCAATTAAGCTACGCATAAAGGTAAACCGAGCAACTGAAGTGAAAGTCTCCTTATAATCAATGCCACATTCCTGAGTGAAGCCCTTTGCAACAAGACGGGCTTTGTAGTGTTGAATAGAGCCATCAGAATGGGTCTTGATTTTGTATACCCATTTGCAGCCAATCGTAGTCTTCCCAGAAGGAAGACTCTGATTCTGACAATAAATGCAAGCAGTGAATCGTTGGGTTGACAAGAAAAAAGAAGTCTGTGACTAAGGAGTGACAAGAACAAAGTCCACATGATGAGTCTAGAGAGTACCAAGACGAGTTTCCTCAAATAACAGTTCTGAAATAGCTTACTTTAGAGTGGGCAGTGGAGTGCGATGAATGAGAGATGCATGTACGGGCTCAAAATGGGTAGTGAGAGCCATGAGAAATTGAACCAACCGCTGCTGATTACGATATTTAATGAATAAAGTAGCATCTTCAAGGTGAGGCCGTGGAGGTTCTGAGAGAGCAAGCTAGTCCTAAACAGAATACATCTGAGAAATAAAGTCATTAATAGACTGACCAGGTTCTTGACGCATGCAGTGAAATTGGCTCTGAAGTTGATACTGATGGGCAAAATCGACAGTCTGGTATCGTTCTTTCAAAAACTCCCAATTGTCTTTAGCAGGAGTGATAATAGAGTCAAGCTGAAAACGACCAAACTGAAGACTAATAGAGGGAACAGAGGTATTCCAAAGCCAAGAACACAA